TGAATCGATGGTTTCAATGACACCTTCTCTTCTTCATTTCAAAGTGGGTTCTCTAAAGCAAAGATATTTTGACTCTGTATTCGATGGCAAGTATTGGGAAAACTTGATCAATACCCGAATTCCTTTGTTAAAAAAGTTCGAATTTTTCTTTTGCGCCGATCCCTATCATAAGAACATTCCTACCCTACACTCATTGATTTCTTCTTTTCAAACATTATTTTGGATCGAAGAGAAACGCTGGTGTGTCAATTGTGCTTATGTTCTACAAAACACAGAGATCTGCCTCTATACGCCTCCGTGCAGTGTGGTGAATATTGAAAACTTGATTAGATGCGAAATATCCTCGATAGATGATGTTTGTCGTTTGACTGAACGGCCCATACATAAAGTATTTGATATAGCAGAGAATGGGGTATGTTTATTGATTTGTTTCTGCAAGAAACAATGATATTTTCCTCTTAGCACTAGAAATTTCATTAGATTTTGATCATTTTTTCTTTCTTAATGCAACTTGATAACGCGTAACGATCGATATATTAGAACAACAAAGTAAGAATATAGTTTGAAATTTAGAAGACGTAATATTCATAAAATACACTGGAACTAGTTTGTGATCAAAGCGAACAGATAAGGGCAAACTTTCAAATCTTGACAATGTACTTTTATGTTTTCAAACTTTACATAAAAATTTAATTCGTAATGCCATAGTGATTGTTTTTACGAGCTAATCCACAATCAATAAAATGTAAACATTAGTATTCTATATACTTACGAAAGTGAAGCTTTCCAATTACACTCACGGTTATAATGATGATAACATTGCTCGAATTTTTTAAATAACACTAAGCATTTTGGATAGTAGCATGAACCATGATTGATTACTAGCATATTCAGTAGATAGGATTGATCGATTATTTTATTACAAACTTTAACATTACTAGAAATAATAACGTAAGTTCGAAAGCTTTGAGATACAATACACTATTCGATACCATTACAGTTGAATGAACAGTAAACACTACCCTAGACAAGACATCTGATATTTTTCTACTTCGAACATGGCAACTATGAAAAAGAATTTTCCTACGAGGACAAAAAACGCAACAAATTCAACAAAAAAGGTTACTCAATCGACAAATAGGAAAAATAACTTCATTTTTTATGGATATTTCTGATTTCAAGAGAAATTCATTAAAGCTTTTGGATAATGAATGAATAAAGTTTCAATTTTTTTTTCTTTCATAGAGAAACTTTACTTTATGCTAGAACCATTATAGCAATATGATGCTGATGTTTTGAGAAACCATTCAATGACTTTCGTTTCCTTTTTATCTCTTCTATGCTCATTTTTTTCTTTTACACATAGACACTTACGGCGCTAAATATACAACGAAATGGAATTGGTGCAATAGGCACACAATATCTAGCTGAAGCCTTGAGAAATGACACGGTGATTCTCATTTTCTCATTATCTCTCCTTCATTTTCATTTTGTTTTGTATAATCAGACACTAATCACACTAAATATGGAATATAATTGGATCAGCGATAACGGAATACAATATCTCGCTGATGCCTTAAAAAATAACACAGTGATTCTACTTAATTTTCATTGCATCTGTCAAATAATTGTTCTCATCTGGTACATAGACACTCACCATACTAAATGTTTCTTCGAATAACATCGGAGAACAAGGTGCACAATACCTTTCTGATGCCCTCAAAAAAAATACGGTAATTATTATTTTCCTTCATCACTTTAATATTTATCTTCTTCTGGGAATACAGAAACTAACCATACTAGAACTATTTGGAAACACCATTGGCGCGAAAGGTATACAACATCTTACTGATGGCTTGAGTAATAACAAGGTAAGTCTCGCTTTTTTGTCATCTTTCTGATTTTCACTATCTTCCGTACATACAGACACTAACCACACTGAATGTTGGAGGAAATACAATTGGACATGAAGGTTCACAATATTTCGCTGATTTCTTAAAAACGAATACGGTTATTTTTTGTTTTCTCTTTATCTCTCTAATTTTCATCTGCTTCTGTAAACACAGACACTCACCACACTACACTTTGGACGCAATGATATAGGAGATAAAGGCGCACAACATCTCGCTGCTAGTTTGAAAAGTAACACGGTAATTCTTGTTTTCTCTTGATCTTTGTTAATTGCATCTTCTCCTGTATATACAGACACTCACAACAATGTACTTAGATGTTGGGTTATTGTTTGGAAAGAATAAAATAGGTGTAATAGGAGCACAACATCTTGCCGATGTCATGAGAACCAACACGGTGATTTTTGCTTTCTTTTTATTTCTCTCATTTTCGTCTTCTTCTATACACACAGACATTAAACACATTGGACCTTGCAGGAAATGAAATTGGAGATGAAGGCTCACAACATATCGCTGATGCCTTGAGAAACAACACGGTGATTCTCATTTACACTACATCTCTCTCTCTCTAATATGCATTCTCTCTCCAACATACAGGCACTCACCATACTAAACTTAGAGAGAAATGGAATCGGAAAAACAGGAGCACGATATATTGCTGATGCCTTGAAACATAACATGGTGACTTTTGCTTGTTTATTTATTTTACTCATACGTTCATTTTCTATACTGTACATAGACACTGGCCACGTTGATTTTAGGTAGTGAATACGGAGGCAATCGAATTACAGAGATAGGGGCACAATATCTTGCTGATGCTCTCAAAACTAACACGGTGATTCTTATTTTCTCTTCATTTTGCCGATTTAAGTTAAATCTTCTCTTGTACATATAGACACTCACCACGTTAGATATTGAGAACAATTGTATTGGAGATGAAGGTGCGAAACATTTCGCTGATGCCTTGCGAAATAACACGGTTATTCTTGCTTGCTGTTCTCTTCTTTGTCATTTTCATCTTCTCCTATGCATACAGACACTAATCACACTGGACATTGGATGTAATGGAATCGCAGATGAAGGGGTACAGCATTTGGCAGACGCCTTGAAAAAGAATACGGTTAGTCTCATTTTTATAATGTCTCCGTCATGCTCAACTTCTCGTGTATATACAGGCACTCAAAACACTGAACTTGAATGGTGCATCGATTAGAGGCTATAAAATTGGTGACAAAGGGGCAGAATATCTCGTCGATGCCTTGAAAAATAATACGGTAATTTTGTCTTTCTTTGCATTTCCATCATTGTCATCTTCTGTGCTTATAGACACTCACGAAGCTGGACATTAGAAACAATTGGATCACCAACAGAGGTGCACAATATCTTGCTAATGCCTTGAGTAATAACATGGTAATCCTCGTTTTTTTTTAATATCTCTGTTATTAATCCTCTCATTTGTGCATAGACACTCGTGGAGTTACAAATTTTCTTGGGAAATGAAATCTCATTGAAAGTTGAACAAGATATGCAAAGGAAAGAGAGTCGAATGAAGTAGTATTTTTTTTTCTTTTTGTAGCAGTCTAAAGTATTGATTTATATAGTGACTGTAATAATATATGAAAAAACGAATAATAAAATTTACGCGCGCAAGAAAAGGGAAAGACTCTGCCATAGCAATGGTGCACTGGTCAACCATACATAGGCAAGCTAATGTAGGCGGTCGACGTATGTAAGAGAAAGTAGCAGTCAATTCGCTTTAACGAATCTGACTCTGATCGACTATGTTCTTGTCAAGAATTTTTTTTAAACAACAAAACATGTGTCATTAAATACAGTTCATGGAGCTTCTTCGAATGATATGATTTTTTGGAGTTTACTCATTTGTGTAAGCAAATAGGTAGAGCCTTTATGAAAATTGCTATTGGTATTCTCATGAAAAAAGATAAAACTTCATTGGTTTTGGACACCAAGAAGTGTTTTATGATGATTGAATTACATATTTATTGATTGAATTGTAAAAGAGTGAAACACAATGACTCATATTACGACAAGACATTGAAAGCCATAAAGCTATTAGTTATCTATGTACATTGAAAGTCGTCGCTAATAGAAAAAGAGTCAATATCACATCAATGTGAGCTTGAGAATAATCTTGGAGAATGCCAAACATCTCTACACCACAGATTCAGGGGTGGGTGTCGAGTGTGGACGTGTGGGAGCGGGAGTGTATGGAGGAGAGTGTGTGCAGAAAATAAGACCCACACTCATAGGCACAGCCACATCCAAGGGGGAAACAGCAGACTCCGGGGCTTCATAGGACTCCAAAGAGTTGGAGTCTGCTGTTTTCTCCCTTGCTTCATAAGCACCACGAACTATGCTTTTCATTTTTTTTAAATAAATAAAATGTCAACAAATAATCCATCTGAAACGGATAGAGAACCCCGACGTTTGTATTTGTATATATTATCATAAATAATACGCGAATTCTGAATTTCATGATCAGAAAAGAAATATGACAGGTCAAAAAACTGAGGATTATATTTCATTCACAATCTTTTATGATGAATAGAATGTTATTGTTTTGTTTTCTGATAAAAAACGTAGTATGATTGAGAATAAATGCATCTGCTTCTAGTTTGTCGAAGATAAATATTAGTTGAATTGAAATTATTCTATCACATCGAAGAAACAATATGTTGTTCTTAATTGTTCTTGTTCTTGTATTACCATTGACTAGTGAAGCTATTGGAAATAATCGAATAGGTGTGTACTGCTCTGCTTTTCCTTCCAAATCGCTAAGAACATGAAAATTCTAATAGAAAATAATCGTAGGGACAGAATTTTTTTTGTCACAAATCTTTAATAGTTTTATTTTTATTTCATAAATGACTTGAAAATAGAAGCAATGAAATAATTTACTGATTATGTTAACTTTTAATTTAGTTTTCAATATACCCCTACAATGGGTCAATTGTAGTACATGGACCGATCAATTGTCAATTGAGAAAGTCGAAGCAAATATGTGGCCACCTAAACGCAATGAATTATTAACAGTATCCGTATCAGGTGTAGCGAAAGAATCATTTATATATGGTAATTATAATAAGACAATCGTTTATCGAGGATATTCTTTACCATCAATAATTGGATCATTAGATGATCTTGGAATTAAATTACCTACATATCCTGGTCCATTGAAAATGATTATATTTAATGCTACAATACCTGACGTAGCTCCCAACGGACAATATGATTTATATGTCAAAGCAAGTGAACAAGATCATTTCGAAGTTCTATGTGTTAAAATTACTTGGGAATTATAAAATATTTGAAATTAAAATCTAGAGATTTGAGAACCAATCTTTTGGTATTATTTGCCTATTTCATTCTTAAATAAAATCATATTTGCACCACTTTCGCAATTCTGAATAACATTTGTTTTCGTTTGTTTTGATATTCTCATGTTTGTATGATTAAGCAGCCAGGCATATGGTTTATTTTTACTCCTTTTTTCAAGTGAGTGATTACTTCTATGGTAAATAGATAACTGAATCAAGATCAAATCCTATAATTTTTTGACAAGTAAAAAAACGAAATAGAACATGTGAGTCTGTTGATTTGGTATGGGTGTGAGTAATAATTCTATCTACACCCATACCCTCTTACTTGTTATCAAAATTTCATCGAAATGACAGACCATTTTCATACATTTTTTTGAATGTTTTCCGGAAATCATTGGTTTCAAAATAATCTTGTCCTATATATTATACAAGAAAAATACATTCCCATGTCTTCTCTTTCGATCCTATCTGCTTGCATTCTCGACTTATTCAATTTTGAACCGAGTACCTTTAAGTTCCACGCCGACATTAGTAATAAAGTAGCCGGAAACTAGCTCAGCGTTTTTGAATAAGAAAGAATAGAAGCTGTAGCATCTTTTATAATAATCGAAACAAAGAGAATTAATATAAAAAGTAATAAGTGACTAATAAAAATTATTATTAAATTACTCCATAATAGTAATAAAAAGTGATAGTAATGTAGCAGAGCCTATTATCGATTTGTACATGTTCAAAATTAAACAATAAAATATATTGAAGATTGACCGTTTTCGATACAAAAAAAAATTTCAAAGCTTTTCAGAGTTGGAATGGGAGTTAGAAAAAAAAAATTCTCGGAGTCCGAGTCAGGATCGTGAAGCGGAAATTTTCGAAGTCAGAGTCGGATTTCGGAATAGAAAAACTTGACTTCGCAGGTCTCTAATCTACATCTACAAGCTTCGATCTCCTCCGAAACTTTCAATACCACTTCGATCAATTTCTTCTTCATTATTATTTGTTTGTGATTAATGGTATTGGTTTGTCGAAGATTATAGCTGTCGTTGTTCAGCAAAAGACGAAATATTTTCTTGTAAATCCGCATCCATATCATTATTGTTTCTGCGGCTCATAGTAATTGTATTTATAATACCACCATCACGCATGAAGAGTCGATTTTGAGAACGACCATATTGAACTTTTTCAATAGAATCAGAAGACGATTAGATGAATAAGATGAATCATCTTCTTTGAAGTGGAGTAGTTCTTCTTTCATTGCCGTCCAAGTTTTCGTTATATCTTGAGTTGAATCCGAAAATCCTCGAACAACTACAAAAGTTGTTGTTCCTCTCCATCTTTATATCACAATAAAACGTGAATATCGAAATACTTTTGTATTTGGTGAGGAACAAAATATTTTCCAATCGCAACGCGGCATTCCCTCTCACAATGGTCAATGCGGAAAATAACTATTGCACTAATTATCTAAAATGTCAAAACCGAGTTCATAGATAGAACGAGATACCATTGTCTGATATATTATTATTTAAAACATTCAGCGATTTCAGAATTACTAGATAATATGTGATCAATCAATAATATGTATGTACCAATATGGCATCTCCTCTTCCATACTATATTTTTTATTGTGCTATTACGTTATAAAATTAACATTAGTTTTTTTTAAATCCGCTTAGAATAAGAGATTGAGAGATAATGAAATATGTGATAATTTTATAGCGAAAAAAAAGGTAATTTGAGCTATATTTTGACATAATTTGAGTTGAGATTATTGTGAAAATTGATCAAAATATTCAAAGAACAAAGTGTTGATCCAAAAGTACTTATAAAAACAAAGTTTCTTTCATCTTAATGAGTTCTATACCGATCGATTGCTCGGACATCGCTCTTTCGAATGGTGAAAACCGCAGCTCTCTATCTCATTCCTATCAAAAGTTATTCGAAAAATGATAACCTGTCTTTTATTTTAGATCAGATAATAATTACTTTTATTACTTTTGAATTTTTATTACTTTATTCCCGATAATAAATAATAAAAAATCTCATTAGTTATTACTGGTAATAAGTAATAAAAACTTAAAAGTAAAGAAAGTAATTAGTAATAATATACGAGAAAACTAATTTATATTTCGATAATCAACAACAATAAGAATTTTAGTATCATCAAAATAGTAAAATAAAATAAAATTACTATTAAAAACAGTAACTAACAAGAGTAATAAAATTTATTAATAATTACTAAGTAATAGTAATGTAGCAACCCTAGTGTGATATCATAATTGAAACCTAAGTAATAATCATAGGTCGTACTTTCAATTACACAGTTATTCCTTTGACGTATAGAATAACCTACCACAAATATTACGACCATTGTATACATAGAGACATGCATGAATTCTGGCTCTTTGGAGGTTCTTTGCGCCTCCACGCCATGACATTGTTATAAAAGATCAGTTATACACGAAAAAAAAACATTTCTTTACAGGTGAATATTCAAGGTAACAGTTTCGACGTATTGGTGAAGCAGGAAAAAAAACAAGCTATCCATTACTGCAACAACATCATTATTTGTAGTAAAATTACAACTTAAAAACATTTTTCATGACTTTCTGTTGTAATTATAGGATAGCTCTATTTAAATTATCAGTTATAGTTTTAGTAAATATTTTTTTCTGTATTTCTATCGCAGTTATAGGATACCTCTATTTAAATTACAGTTTAACACTCAATTAATTTCATTTATTTTGGTTACCGACAAGTGCTAGTCTGATTTGTTTTTATTTGCTCTCGAATTCATTATATGTAGTTGAAGCCTTATTTATATTTAAACTCGAGTTAGGCAACTCATGCATATATATATATATATATATATACTCGCATATTGCTCTTTGGACAAAATCCTTGCACTACGAAGCTGAAAAATAATCCTAAGAATGGTAATGTTCGTTCTATTTCTTTTTGCTTCATCCTACCTGGAGCTCACAATTGCTGCGCAACGATGCATTATTGGATATCAGTGCCCTGATAATTCCACAATCAATGCTGATAACTCCACAATCAATGCTGAATGTGTTAAATTAATGGGTCACTCGGGTGTGAATGAAAATGGTCATTTAATGTGTATTCAGAATCAGAGAGGCAGAAACGTATTTGGTCATGATAATCGAGTTCAAGTTACTTCTACAGATTATCCGTGGAAAGCAATTGGATACTTAAATACCGGATGTACTGGAACGTTAGTAGGACGAAATCTAGTATTATGGTAGTAGACATAAAAGACGTCTATGTTACCAAATGATCCAAACAGTTCAATATAACACATATATACAATCCTTTCATACAAGTAAAAACTCAATTTTCCATAAAATGCCATATTTTCCTAGTCACATCTGTGATGATGATTCTTAAATAAGGAATGAAAGATTCATGAGAGAACGTCAGCAGAATTATTTTAGGATCTATGCATCATTATTTGCATCCTTATTGCATGAAAGTTTATTTTCTACCGAAAATAACTGTAGAAAACGAAAGTTATTATCTCACCATAATCGCTCACATGATGTCAATTGATTATAGCTGTTTCATCATATTTCTGATTATAGTTTAGATGATTTTGCATTGTTGCATGAATACCGTTAATGATTAAATCGTTCTTCATATAAAACGCGTTGAATTTGATCTACAGTATCATGCGCGCAACGGCAAAAACCTAGCAAAGTATCTTTCTTCATCACACAGTCAGCAGAGAAACGTTCTGAAAGTTTTATATTTATGCTTCTAGAACAAAAATATTTAGTAACGACATAATAAAAAGAATATGAGTACTGGTGACAGATTTCTGGAATATCCTCAATTGGCTATTGACATCATGGAGCAAACGAGTAGTTGTTTTGTAATTAATTTTGAATAGCAGTTTGTTGGTGGTTTCCAACGAGGCATCATTTATTCATCATATCATGAATTCGATATTCCATGAAATGAAGTAAGAAAGTTGTAAAAACTCACTGAAATATCCTAAAATGGCTATTTCTGTATCTAAAAGCCAATGATAAGCCTTAAGACTTTTCAAATATTCATGTTGCTTACGAAATTACTTGGCAAGAGATCTTGAATGGTGTCTTAATAGAAATGGATCATAGTTATATCATTAAGTCATTTTATATGTATCATTTATGACTTATAAGTTTTGTATTACATACGTCCTTTCTATACATCTCAAAACCGCTGCTCACTGTGTGATAGATCCAAATACTCGCAAGCTCAACAACGTACAAACTTTCTATCCGAACAGAATCAATGGGCGTGCAACTGGCTCATCATCAATCAGCTACGTATGGTGGGGTACAACAGATCCAGACACGCATCGTCAACTTGATTGGGCCTTGTTACGACTGACCACACCGCTGGGTGATCAGTACGGCTACCTTGGATTCCGCACACTGAGCGACAGTTCAATGCTAGCTTCATCAGGTACATTGGTGGGTTACTCGACAAATTTTCACAATGGACAGACTGCTGGAGCACATGTCGGATGTCATATAACCAAAAAAGTGAGTAATGGTTTCTATCTACACGACTGCGACATGTCCCGTGGAGCCAGTGGTGGTCCGATATTTGCGTGGTGGGATAATCAGCCATCTATCTATGCGTTGAATGTGGCCGAATACAGAAATGGTGGTTCTGAGACCCTATCTCTACCAGATTATACAGAGAAGAATGCTAACATTGCCATATGGTCATCAGAATTATACGACAAAATTAATACACTCAGAAATTCGTAGTTTTTTGTAAACGATTAAAGCATAAAAAAATAAAAGAATGGTAAAAGACGGGCACTAGCGAGACAACAAACTAAAATTCGTTTCGGTGTCTGATCAAGATTTGTTAAACGAGTCCATGGGTAGGCAAAAAAAATAGGTTTCACATCCTACTAAGACACGCTACGTTTGATCGAAACCCAATGAGAATGTGAAGGAAGATTCTCT